ACACTACGCCTTTTCCACCTAAAATGGCGTCTTAGCAACAAATGTCACGTGACTGGCGGAGACCGATGGGCAGGCATGGGGAGTATCCAAAGATGAGGTAATATAGGGCGTTGCCTGTTGCCTTACTTTTCATACAGTTGTATGCATGAACGATTTTATTCAATGACTCTTTACAGTCATCCTTCTCCTTGTCTTCTAGGGTCGATTACATGGACAGCAGAGTGCGGTTGAATCTCTCCACCTGTCCATTATCCTGTGGGTGGTAGGAAAATGTGTGAGGTCCCTTGATAGCTGAGAGTTCTGTCAACCTTGCCATAAGCTTGTTGTTGTTGTTGTTGTCAAACTCTTTGCTCATGTCATGGTGTAATCTGACCGGGAAGCCACACTTGCAAAGCCAAACTCAAGTGCAAAGTCATTAAAGAGCTTGTCAGCAGTGTTTTGGCTGCTTTGTTCTTTGTTGGGTATCCTTGTGTGAACCTCGTGAAGTAATTCATGACCATTAATATGCAGTAAAAAAAATACGTATTTGAACACCCTGCTATTTTGCAAGTTTTCCCACTTAGAAATCATTGAGGGGTTTGATAATGTCATCTTAGGTGCATGTCCACTGTGAGAGACATAAAAAAATCCAGATATGACAACATATGATGATTTTTTTAACAATTTATTTGTATGATACAGCTGAAAATAAGTATTGAACACCTGTCTATCAGCTAGAATTCTGACCCTCAAAGACCTGTTAGTCTGCCTTCACTTCTGTCCTACTTGGTCTTCCAGTCTGCAATTTGCACCAGAGAACTCTCAACAGGAATTACCTGCTTCTTGTGCTCTCCGAATCTGGTCTGGTGTAAAAGGCTGGTTAATGTCATTCATTTTGAAAAAAATGAATGACATTAACCAACAATGAACATGTCCATCCCAAAGCCACTTCACCAGGAGGTAAAAGAGTATATCTAAGACTTATTAAATCATGGTTGGATTACGCCTTCACAATCTCCGTATGCCTCACCAGTCAGGTGTGTACGAAAGAAGGATGGAACATTAAGGCTTTGTTCTGATTATAGGAGTTGAACAAAATTTCATTGCCTTATCACCACCCCATACCCTAAATACAACACATGCTCCACTTTCTCGCTGGCAGCTCCTGGTTTGCCTTCCTAGACCAGGGGAGAGCCTACCACCAGGGTTTCTTTGATGAGGAAAGCCAGCCCCTGACAGCTTTCATAACTCCCTAGGTCCTGTACTGTTGGGTCAGAATCCCATTCGGACTGAGTGCAGCACCTTCAGAATTCTAGAGGAACATGGAAGACTGTTTGCATGTCTTGAGAGATGTAATGTGTCAACCGTACCTAGATGACAAATCAGCCAAAAGCTTTTGAAGACAGGATTGAACACCTGAGAACTGTGTTAAAGAGATACCACAGGCACAGAGTGAAGCTCAGTGCCCATAAGGAGAAAGCACCCACAAAAGTGGGATAACAGAGAAGTAATGAGATTCCTCTCATACGACCATATACATCCCAAACTTCTCCAGAATAGCCCAGCCTCTCTGCAAGCTGATATAAACATCAGATCAAGGGAGTGGAAAGAAAGTCAGAGCCAAAATTGGAAGAAGAAACGTACCCTCCCACCTAGCAATCGAATGCAGTGGACAGTTAACCACCAAAAGATATTAAACTCTCTCATAGACAAGCTTCTAAAGCCTCCCCTCCTTGTATACCCAGAGTTGACCGAACCATTCATTCTCCACACAGACGCATACCAGGAAGAAAATTGGGGGCTGTACTACACCAGAGAGAGAATGGTAAGATGGAAGTTATAGTCTGTGGTTGGACCATATGTACTCAGGGAAATAAATACATTTTTAAAATGGGGAATAGATTGAAAGTTTTCATGATTACCTTTATCATGCCCCACGCTTCAAAGTACTGTATATACAGACAACAATCCATTAACTCATACTCTCTTGACAGCTAAGCTTAATGCAACGGTTCTAGGTGAGTGAAGGAGCTGAATTTGACTTGTCTGTAAAGTATAGAATGAGTAATGCAGATGCAAATGTCCTATCCCGCATGCCATTAGACAGAAATGCGTTCATGACACAGTGTACAGAGGAGGTTTGTCAGCAACATCAGCCCAACAACATCTAGAGCTCTGAGGTACTCAGGGCGGATCTCGTCCACCCCAAAAGCCTGGTCAGCGTTGAGCTCTTTATAATCTTCTCGGTGACTAACAGCATGGGTGATGGAAGAATTTGATCACCAGCTCCCCTCTCTTCTTCCACCACAGAAGGTGTGTCAGTCAGATTGAAGAAATCCTTAAAGTATTTATTCCAACATTCAACAATTTCCTCTTACAGGGTCAGCAGCTCCCCATTCCCACTGAAAACAGTGTTAGCTAAGCATTGCTTTCCCATCTGGAGGTGCCACATAGTTTGCCAGATTTGCTTTAAGGCCAATTGATCTTTCTCAAGTTTTTCTCCATGGCCTTCCAAACTCATCCCAGACCAGAGTTTTTTCCTCTACAATTCCCTGGGCAGCAGCATGCCTGGCCTCAAGATACCTGCTTACTACCTGACAAGTCCCAGAAGCCAACCAGTCTTAGTAGGACTCCTTTTTCAGCTTGATAGCATTTATTTCTGGTGGTGTCCACCATTGGGTACAGTGACTGCCAACATGACAGGCAGCACAAACCTTACAGCTACAGTTATGGCTGATTTCGTTGACATGGAGGCAGAGAACATGGTCTAGTCAGACTCCATTTCTCCAGCCTCCCCTGGAATCTGGGAGAAGCTCTCCTGCTTGGGGCATTTGAACATGTCCCTGACTGAGAGCTCCACCAAGCGATCACAGCAGACTCTCACTTCTCACTTGGGCCTGCTTAGTTTTTCAGGCTTCTTCCACTTCCGGCATATCCAACTCACCTCCAGATGGTGATTGGTGGACTGCCCCTCTCTTTACCCGAATGTCCAAGACACGTGGCTTTAGGTCAAAAGATACAACAACAAAGTTGATCATTGACCTTTAGCCTTGGGTGTACTGGTGCAAAGTGCACCAGTGGACATATGATTAAACAAGGTTTTCATTATGGACAGTCAGCTGCTTGCGCAGAAGTCCAATAATTATCAGAGTGTTGGGTTCTTAATATTTTTTGTCAGTCCCCATAAAAACCACATGTTGCTGGAGGGAACAGACACACTGAACCTCTAAATCAGCAGTTTACACCAGTGTGGCTCAGGGCTGCTGGTTTCTTTCTTCTTTCATTATCTCTGTCTCCGGTGCAGAGAAATCCTCTACAATTCTTAATGCTACGTCACAAACCTTTCATCATTGTGATTGCTCTGCTCTATCTCAGCTGAGACCAAACCCAGCCCTATAGCCCCCGCTTATCTGCCATAATCTGGGTACCACCTTCCAATGGGAGAATTAGGAAGCGAAACTTACAAGGTGCAGCAAATTTAAGGAGACGGAATGGCAAATCATGCAGATCATTTCTGGCCACAAGAGTGTGCAAATTAGGTTTTTGATTTAAAGATATGAAGTCCGGAACCAACCGCATTCTTATTATGAACTGCTGCAATAGTTAGCCTTCAGATGTTTTTTCCTTTTCTTCCTCTGTTCTAATTAAAATTGAAATCTCTTTAATGTTTGTAAGACTTTTGTAATGACTATTATCAATCAAACTCAAGTTAACACCACCTTAGATATGCAGCGTCAGGGCATTCTGGCATTGGTGTTATTTTCCACTATGACAACATTACCATGCTGTGTGTTTCTTTTCATCAATCTGACAATGTTATACACTTTAAGGAGTAAAGTGGTGTTTGTAGAGACCTCTCGATACATTCTTCTTTTTAACCTCCTGTTTGCAGACACAACTCAGCTGGCACAGAGTCAGTCGATGTTTTTGCTTTCCACTACCAGAGTAACAATGTCTTATTCTGTGTGTGTCGGTTTAACCCTCCTCAGCTTTCTCACTATTAGTGTTTCTATCATCACGCTGGTTATCATGTGTTTAGAGAGATACATTGCTGTGTGCTATCCTCTAAGACATAGTGCTATCATCACCACCAGGAACACAGGATGGGTTATTTGTGTTATTTGGTGTGTCAGTTTATTTCATGTAATTACACAACTAAGTTTAATATTAAGGTTTTCATTTCCAGACCTGCAGCTCACACAGATGATAGATTTCTGTGGGAAGGAGAGTATTTTTCTTGATCCAGCATCTGATCTTTATTACAGAACTTTTACTTATTTTCTGTTTGTGTTAGGAGGTGTAACTGTTTTTGTCACCTATACTGGTATCATAGTAGCAGCTCACTCAGCCTCCACTGACAAAGCATCAGCAAGCAAAGCTCGAAGGACCCTGCTGCTGCATCTGCTGCAAATGGGCCTCACAGTGTCCTCAACAATATACATCTCATTGCTTATAGCCATTTCAAAGCATGTAGGGAGACTTGAAGCCATGCGTATCCAGGTTTTTCTTTATGTCTGTATCATTATTTTCCCCAAATGTCTGAGTTCATTAATCTATGGCCTCAGAGACCAGACGATCAGACCTATTCTAATGCTGAACCTTTGCTGTCAGTGGAGAGGGTCAGTCTCCATGGCTGTAGTGCTGACACATAAAAATATCAGAGTATATGTTTCTTAATGGTTGTAAACTGTATGTTACATATGTGGATATTCAAAGTTCAAAGAATACAGAAAATTTTTATAGAGAAAAATCTATGAATTCTGTCAATATTTGTTTTTGTTTTTTTTTTCAATTTAACATATATTGTAATTTTCAAAAAATACTTTTCATATAAATGTATCTATTCCAAAGTCACTGTGGTGATGCTTCGTTTTAAAAAAGGTGGGGGGATTATTCTAATAAGTATGAAATTGTGGAATTTAGTATGAGTTAATGATAGTTTTATTAGAAGCTCAAGTATAGCCTTTAAAAAGATTAAGTAAATGAAGAAAAAGAGCTATTAGAAAAACATCACCCTCTTTGACCTTATGTGGATGATAGGATTGTTAATGATTATATCAGATGGTTTCAGGTAAAACAGGATCCAGAAAACATGAGAATAAATAAGTGCAATCTGAGTGAGTGAACCAATGTGTCATTAATGCTGTGATAAGAATCATGTCAGACTCCTTTTAAAATAGTTTGAATCGTCCTTATTTGTCCAAGTTAATTTTGACAAGATTGTAAGCAACACTGATTTTTGCAATGTCATTTTGTGATTCAGTTTAATCAAAGCAACACAAGCACATTTTATTAGCAAGTCTTTTAAATTGTTGTAATTCAGATAAGGAGCACAATAGAAACACAAAAAGAGGAATAGTGCATTTTGGTGGCATAAAAGTAATTAAATAATAAATGAAAGTGAATTAAGTGTATAAATACTCAGTTTGTTCTAACTCATTATACACATTATACGACAGCGAAATAATATTTGAAGGAAGGATCGTAATCTTGATGAACTGACTGCACAGATGAAGTCTTCAGGTGTACTTTCTCACTTAAAAACATTAAAACTACTTTTTACCCACTTATTACAGCAAACAATGCTGCCATATTACAGGCAAAGAAAGGATAGGGTAGCTCCTCCCAACTCGCATCAGAACCACTTTTCGACTGCGCAGCTAGAGCAGCAAAGATGCTTTAGCCACACGTCAGAACTAAACACGAGTAGCTGATTTATTTTTATTTTTTGTCCTCCAGTTGTCCAGACTTCTTGAACATGACATTTCTGATCAAGGACTGTAGGGCCTTCTTCAGGGGTTCCAGGTCCACAGATAGTTTCTACAACAAACAGAGAGATTATATGTCAATTCATGTTGGCCATGCTAAATAAAGACAAACTTTTAAAACCTAATCCTTTGCGAAAGTAAATTCAATCCACGTTAGAAGTGATGACTTTTATAATCAAACATCGAAGACATTTTTAATTCAATGTCTGCTTATATAGCTGCACCCAGTTATTTTTCCTTATTTTTTTTACACAAATAGTTGTATATTCTTTACAAATACCAAGCCTTTGACTCAAAATTTTTAAGATGGAAATTCCCATCACATAATCATTTTTCAGGAAATTTACAGTTCCATTTACATCATATAACCTGGTAAATTGGTACATTACACAGCAATCACCACACTAATAACCATTTTAACGTTATCATACGAGCAATATTTCTGTCTATATAGAATTGAGCTTTTAACCAAATGATGGTCTGGAGAGCTTCTTTTATAAGGAGTTAGTTTGCACTTTCCTCAAAATAACGTTTTTTGCTACTTTCAGCATTTTTACATTGCATATGTTTTGCGTGTTTGTGTTTTATCATCACTCAAAGTGTTGATGACACAATATTGACATTGTCTAGCATTGTTAATACCAATTATTAATTTCAAGGGGGCCTGCATGAGGTAGTTTTTTTTTTTTTTTGCTGCTGTTCAGAGGACTCTACTGCCCCTTAGTGACTGAGGGTGTTATGGTTCACTTGTCTCTGCATCTGGGTCCTCAAGCAACCTCACCACCCATTGTTGACAGAGGGAGAAAACGAAATTGACATATGCAGGGAAATGAGCCAGAGTTGAACAGTGGTTTCATGGACAACTGCTGAAGCTTTCATGGATTCAGATATAGTTATGCTATGTTATGTTATGTTGTGCTGAAGCGTTTTGCTTCAACCCCATAAAGATGATGTCAGTTTATTTAAAGGTATAGAGGTCAACCTGAATAAGTGCTCTTCCTAATTGTTAATCATTCTGGTGATACGTTTACATAAGAGCGTCCTACATGCTCGTCCCGTTAGCTATCTTTTTCTGCGCATGCACACTTTCAGGCATATATGTGTCATTGAAGCTAATTTTTCTCACCGCAGTTCTGCAGTTTTTTTGATAAAAAAAAAGTTTCGACAAAGTGTATGAGAAGAAAATAAAGGCCTCAGAAGAGGCAGAATTATCCCGGAATGCTTTGCTCTGAGAGAGAGCTCTCCTCTCAAAGCATTATGGGATTTGCTGTCACAGTGCTGTCGCCATAGGCTGCTGCTGCCCAACAGAGTAATCACAAAGATGGCGCAAGTGGAGAGAGCAGGTCTTTTTTTTAAAAAAATCAACAAAATCCTCCACAATATCCTAAGCTGCTGTCAAAGTGGGTGAAGCAGGTCAGACAAGATCAGAAGAGGTTGTAGCACTCTATGGCATCTTTGGAAATGTTTTGAATTGTGTTCCCTCACTGAAAAAATCGCTTGGTTGTTCCATAAAGAAATAAATGTTAGCTACTACCATGGCGCTACTAATTGTATTTTTGCTCTTATAACTCAGAACCACCTGTTATGCCCTTCTTCAGGATTTAAATGTAAAATAACATGACGTCTACAGTATATCTTTAAATCTTTGCAGCAAGTTTTGTATTTGCATTGCATTTGATCTTTGCTGATCTGTTTTCTTTGACTACAGCATTCCTCTTGTGCTGCATTTTTTTGCATGTTTTTCTGTGTTAGTCTAATTATTGTTTTTGGTAGTCTGATTTTTATGTTTGTTACTTTTTTGCCATTTATTAATGCATTCTCAGGATGTTTGCACACCTTGCTCACCATAGTTAAGCATAAAAGTTGATCAGGCAGAAGAAAGGTCCTACCAGCCGCTCAAAGATAATAATCTATGTATTTTAAAAAGCTACCTGCTCTCTTGTGCAGCTCATGTGTCAATAGATGTAACAGAAAACCTAAATTAAAGCAAAGCTCCCTATCCCCTCAAGGAAACTTTGGAGCGTGCGGCAAATATAAAGAATGGTGATGGCATATGATTCAGATCGTTTCCGGTTGCAAGATATGGTAGAGGATGTTTGTTAGTTAAAAGACATGAGCTCAGTCACCATCTGTATTCTTACTATTGCTGTAATAGCCTACAGAGGATCACTTCGCTTGCTAGGTCTCTGTTCTGATAAAAGTTTAAAGCTATCTAATCTTCAAATATGTCCTTTATTAATCAATCTCAGGCAAACACCACCTTAGGTGTGCCACAGTGGAGCATTCTGGGGTATGTGCTGTTTTCCACTGTAACAACATTGCCAAGTTGTGTGTTTCTTTTCATCAATCTGACAATGTTATACACTTTAAGGAGTAAAGAGGTGTTTGTAGAGACCTCTCGGTACATTCTTCTTTTTAACCTTCTGTTTGCAGACACAGTCCAGCTGGCACAGAGTCAGTCGATGTTTTTACTGTCCACTACCACTGTAACAATGCTGTATTCTGTGTGTGTGGGTTTAATTATTATGAACAGTCTCACACTTACTGTCTCTATTGTTACACTGATAATAATGTGTTTAGAGAGATACATCGCTGTTTGTTATCCATTCAGGCATAGTGTGTTCATGACTACCAAAAACACAGGAGTGGTTATTTGTATCATTTGGTGCTTTAGTACACTAAAAAGCATTATGCAACTAAGTCTAATTTTTAAGTTTTCTTTACGCAACTTAAACCAGGTGCAGTATGCAGGCTCTTGTGGAAAACAGAGTGTGTACGAAGATCCAGTTTCTGATGTTTTTACCAAGGCTTTCACTTATTTTCTCTGTGTGTTAGGAGGTGTAACTGTCACTTTCTCTTATACTGGTATCATGGTAGCAGCTCGTACAGCCTCCACAAACGCAGCGTCAGCCAAGAAAGCACAGAGGACACTGCTGCTGCATCTGCTGCAGATGGGCCTCACAGTGTCCTCAACAATATACAACTCTTTGCTCATAGTTCTCTCTAAAATTGTAGACAGGTTTCTTGCTGTGCATCTGCAGATTGTTGTGTATATATGCATTATTATCTTTCCCAAATGTCTGAGCTCTCTTATATATGGGCTGAGGGACAGGACAATCAGGCCCATCCTTGTACTCAATCTTATTTGTCAGTGGAGAAGGTCAGTTTTAATCCCTGATGTTTCAGCTAAAGATAAAATCAAAATACATAAGTCTGTTTAACTCTGCTGGTGAGGGAAGTGAAATTATTGTAGTTTAACTCTTTGTCTAATGATTTCCTCCATCACCTCTGGTATGGATTTTAACTTCAATCTATACTATGGTACAATATTTGCCAGACATGTAAGACTGATTATTGCCGTAAACACATTTGTAATTCCTTTGTTAGAAATATTTTAATTTGAAATAAATGTGGGCTTTGGATGACTTTTTTCTAGGTCTGAGAATCAGATTTCATATAATATCTGTACTAATAAGTTCTCTATGTATGATGTAAGTATAAGAGAAAACAAATATACCTGCATTGGCAAAAAATATAAGACAACAACTGGTTTTGCATTAATTAACTTTTCATATGCTGAATATGTACTGTGTCAAATGGTTTCAGTTGGATAAAGTGTGCTGGAGCAGAGAAACATCTAATTTATCAGCACAGTTGGCCCTTGGAGACAAAGCTGAGGATTTGGTAAAACCAAAAATTACTTTTATTCCTTCTGTTCACTACAGCAAGAATGTTTTTTTTTTTGCTGCAGCTCATGAATGTTAGAGGAACAACTCCAGCCTATTTGTCAGAAAACTTTTTGTCTCCACTGTCCACTGTTTGTGCAATGAGCTGGACAAACTTGAGCCACTGTCTTATGTTTAACGTGCATAAAGTGTAATACAGCCCATATGAATAGATACACGTAAAAACTAGGTTCCAAAGGAGGAGGAAAATGAAATAGTCACAGACGCCTTGTTAAGAACTATAACCAAAGCTGGTGTTTATTCCAAGAAAAAAACATTGAGCATAATGTGTTGCTCCCAAATCACCATCCTTCACACTTTAGTGTTTTAGTCTTTATAGTCAGTCTTATCAATGAATTTTTTTTTTTATCTTAAAGTCTGTTCAATCCCTCTGTAATTTTATGTTAAGTCAAATAAACCAAAAGAGAGAAATAGAAAAAGCTGAGGAAGTCAGCTCACGTGAGAGTCAGCATGGTCAGGGCAGTCATGCAAAAAATTTCCCACAACACTCCTCCCTCTTGATTATGAGATGATCACACAAAGCAAGAAATTGTCAATGGACAATCAATAACCAGAGCCAGAGTATGGTTACACATAAAGACCTCCAAAGAAAAACTTAGCAAATTATTTTCTTTGCACTGAAGGCCATTTTCTCATAAAGAGGAACCAAGTTAATCTTACCATTAGTCAGGATAAGATCAAGGGAGGTTTCTAATGCAGTATTATACATGGTTGAGATTTCACAATAACCCTGACAAAGCCTGTTAAAGATATAAGGTCTTCCATCAAATAAAAGGAAACCAATATTGACTATCAGGGTGAACCAGAACTGAAGAGAGCACATTGGATAGATCAACCATAGACGAAATCAGGCCTCAGATGGAGTCTGCACTAATTTGGTATGCGGATTTGGCACCGAGGATGCACATGGTACAACTACTGTATTAACAGCTCACAGGGTGCTGCATACATTTTCACTTGGACAACCTGGGGGTCCAATCTTCTTCACAGAAAATAAAGTTCAGTGTCTTTAATCAAACCAATATCATATTTATGAGATGAGCACAGTTGAGCAGGCACTGTGGATATAGTTTCAGATGATATTGTTGCAGACATAGAGGTAAATGTGTATAGATCATATATCATATACATTTATATTTGCACAGTTTGTTTGCATTGAAAGGAAGGAGAGCAAATTCCATACATACATGCTAAGATGGTGGAAAGACAATATCAGCAGAGGAAGTTGGCTGCCAAACTTAGATTACATGGCAGGGACCCACATCCCTCCATTGCATGTCATAGGAATTTGCTAATGAGACATGAATTACACACAATAATTATTTTTTGGTAATATCGTATTTCATTCAATAATAATGAAATGCAGTTTCATCAAACAATTTGAGCTGTAGCCCTGTACAACGATTGAAAATACTGTATAGTCTATGCCAGTCTTAACTTGATTACCGTACTTACGTACTAAGATGGCGATACAGACCGCTGCCTCAGTGTGTTGGTGCACATTCTTTTGTTTTGTTTAACAATTTAACTCTGGTTTTTGCGATGATACCCGTGTCATGATTTAATTCTAAGATCTGATCCACATGCAGGAAACCAAACAGAGAGACCAAGGGAAGGTTTAACAGGTTTATTGAGAACTGGTAGAGATGGGTCCAGTGCTTTTCTGAACACTGGCCAACCGGGACTGAAAAGTGAAGGGGAAGATCCTGTGATTAGTTAAGGCTCAGTGGGAAATTTGAGCTTCAATTTGCAATAGGGAGTAAAGGCAATTGCACTCACGTTTCCAATAAAAGGTGTCTTTCTCTGAATCCAGTCGGTGTGAGTTGTTCCAGTAATTGAGTTGCTCATTGGAGGGCAGACAGGGTTTACCCTGGTTGTGGTGGTTACTTAAGGAACGGAGGAGCTAACTGCCACTTAGATTTCCAATGGTACTTGAACTGTTTCTTGTGGAGATGAATTCCCTGCTCAGAGTGTAGCTCAAACAATTCCTTGGGGAAAAGTAGTTCCAAATCTCCAGTTTGAATCCCCAGCTCAGTTTGAAACTCAGACTATCCTTCCAGGGAGAGAAGGTCCAAAACATCCAGTTTGCAGGATGACTTCCCAAAACACTGTCGTCAAGGTAGTGGCATTCAGCAGCTTAAAAGTCCTCCGGTAATGAGGCAACCATCCGCAGGTGTGTGAGAAGGCCAATGAGAACCAGGCGCCACCTGGTAGTGGAGGGAAAACAAACAAAAACACAACCCACACAAACTCAATTCCTAACAACCCAGAACTCTTTAACCAGAGAATAGCTCATGAACATCAGGGCAACATCATCAGAGGATTTGTTCCCCACTTTTATTCTCCCTACACTGGAAATTTTGGACATTCTGGTCAAAGGTATGCTCTCCATTGCTCACGCTGCGAAACGCTGTAGGAGAGGAAAACATGCCGGTGCGATTATGCATCTTCGCCAGTGAAGTATCCACTCACCAATACCGAGCATAATCCTGTCTAACGTACTGTACGTTCCCTGCCCAACAAACTGAAGCAGTTACAACTGATTCTGGGAAAAAATAGGGACTTCTCCTTATTTGCTGTTTTGTGCTTCACAGAATAGTGGCTGTGTGGATTAATACTGGACTGGCAGGCCTCTAACTCCAAAGAGTGGACACAGACACACAAATCTACAGCAAAGTGAAAGGTAGAGGAAACTGTTTTTACATCAACAACGGCTGGTGCAAGGATGTGGCAGTGATCCAGCACTGTTCTCCTGACCTGGAATCCTTCATCAAACACAGTAAGCCTTTCTATTCACCATGTAAGTTTTCTTCATTCATTCTGGTCAGAGTTTATATCGTGCCACATGCAAACGTGCAGGTCGCACAGCCGACACTCGCAGACCAGATTGCCCCGGTTACTTTAACAAAGGAAACCTCACTCATGAACTTCCAAAGTATATACATTTTAGTAATTGCTCGAACAAACAAGATTACATTCTGGATCACTGCTACACCAAAGTTAGGGAAGGTTATCACGCCGTCCTCTGCGCTTAAACTGGGCAAATCCAACAAGTCATGGTTCACCTGATTCCTATTTACAAGCAGAAACTTAGGTTTATTCTTTATACAGCATGTGCATTGTTATTCTGTTAGCCAGATTAGCCGGAGTGGAAGGCCTTCCTTCACATTGTGGATGTCACTGTGTGTATGGAGGTCATCTAATCTGGACAGCCTTTATGTCTTTAGAAATACACAGGGTATGGGCACATCTTGGAGCCTGACTGATAGAGGAGAGCTATGTGCAATCCTGGGGTAAAGAGGCAAGATAAATGAAGTTCAAGACATGGATGGCGTGTCAGTTTCTGATACAGACAGCTAAACATCTACATGATGCAACACATAGACTCATGAGGTAAGGAGGAGATGACCTTGTCTGGGGCTCAATCTTTGCTCAACTTTGCCAGACACTCACTAATGTTTTTTGAGCCCACAGCTGTGCAAACTCCAAGCAATTTCTCTATCCTGTAACAACCTGATCTGGAATAAACTCTGTTACTTTTTTACTCTTGTTTTTATAGTCCTTTTTTATATGGTTTTACCCAGTTTGAGTTAGTAAATAACTTGCTGCCAGGAAAAGAACCGGAAGGGAAGTTCTGAGGCGCAGCTGCTATAAGGGGGACATGACTTCTGTTACGTTCAAAATTGTAGGTTCATGATAAAAACTAAAGCTCTGCAAACCTGTAGTGAGGACATCAAAGTGGTGGACCACTGAGGCTGTGGAGGATCTTCAGGCTTGTCTGGATTCTACTGACTGGCTCTACCAACAGTCTAGATGAGTACATAGAGGCTGTGACATCATACATCAGCTTCTGTGAGGACTTCTGTGTTCCATCACAAATCCAGGGTGAGTTACAATAACCACAAACCCTGGTTCACTGCCAAACTCGGACGGTTAAGGTTGAATAAAGAAGCATTCAGGCGTGACGACAAATGCAGATTGAAGATGCAAAATACAAGGTCAGCAAGGCTGTGAAAGAGGCTAAATTATGATATCCTGAGAGACACCAAAACCAGTTTACCGCCAATGACACTTTGTCTGTCTGGAAAGGACATAGACAGATCAGAAATTACAAGCCTAACCCCCAAACTCCATGAACAACCAACGCATGACTTCTATTGTCGTTTTGACAGACAAATACCCCATTTACACTACCCTTGAAAAACCGATCCATGCCGAGACCGTTCCGAGCTCGGATCAGTTAACCAGGCCGAGTTTGGTTCTGACGACCGTTTACACATCACGCTATCTCGGTTCCTCAACTCCTCGCCTCCTAGTGATGATCTGCGGTATTACTGCCAGTATTGAAGGAGGAAATCAAGCAGTTGATGCACCAAAAGTTGTTTGCTAACCACCATAAAACACAAGAAGATGAAGAAGGAGGGAATCAAGCAAATCAAAATGGCGGTGCCCGTCATATTCAGAAAGTTATGCTTGATTATTATTGCTGTAATTCAGTGTTTGCGGCGGGTCAGGCGAAGACGGCAACCTTTCGTGGATGTTTATAGTTGTTCTTCTTCTTCTGTTTTGTGTTGGTTGGCAAGCAACTTCTGGAGGGGCATTACCACCAACTACAGGAATTGAGTGTGAATCGGGATGTGCAGCCAGACAGAGATGACGCGTTCTGCTCATGCACTCTTGTTATCAGAGAACCGAGCCAGGAAAAAAACTGAGCCAAACCCACCTCTGGAACTGGTCTGCAGTTAGCTCGGTTCGGTTGTGTCTAGCGCGGCTCAGTTCAGTTTGCTTTCCATTTACACACGATAAGTTATCTCAGTTACTGAGCTCTGACCGGTCTCGACACGGTTTTTCAAGGGTAGTGTAAATGGGGTAAAAGGGACAGTCCTGCAACCACCCCCCATGACACCTCCCCCACCTCAGCTGGGGGCCGGGCACCTCTCACTGTACCCACCTTAAAGACCCACGCCTCCTCCCTTCCACCCACCTCAGTGACAACTCTTTCCAAAAACAAGTGGTATGTTAATAAACTCTTCAGAAGACGGAACCCCCGGAAAGCTACTGGACCAGATCCTGTCTCTCCATCCACCTTGAAGCACTGTGCTGATGAGTTTTCTCCAATGTTCACAGACATTTTTGGTGACATGTCACGTGCCAACCTGCTTCAAGTCCTCCACTATTATTCCTGTTCCCAACAAGCCAAAACCTGTCACCCTGACCTATGTGGTTATGAAGTCCTTTGAGCTCCTTGCACTTTCAAACCTGAAAGAGATCACTGATCCCCTCTCTGACCCCCTACAGTTTGCTTACAGAGCCAACAGGTCTGCAGATGACGCTGTTAATTTGGCCCTTTACTACATCCTCCAGCACCTGGATTCTGCAGGTTCCTAAGCCAGGATCCTGTTTGTTGATTTCAGCTCTGCCTTCAATACAATCATCCCAGCTCTGCTCCAGTCAGTAAATCAGGTGGTTTCTGAAAGTTACAAGTTTATACTCTAAAATAATACAGAAATGTACTGATATTAGAAAATGCTATTTGTATTTTTGAATACAAGTATTTTCAACAGTGAGTACTTTACTACACTACACTTTACTTGTAGTCGAGTAAGATCTGACTATGAGATTTCTCTCGAGTACTACAGTTGAGTACTTCGTCCACCACTGTCAGTTTCTAACTATAACTAGTTACTATATTAAGTAAAAATTCCTCCTTTATACGTTAGCAGTGTGGCAGCTGTCAAGATTTGGTTGTGGTTTGTTGACCCAAATGCAGAGGCAGGGAGGCAGAAGTGAATTTCGTGGTGATTTAATGAAAAAGTAATCCTAATATGAAAAAACAAAGTCCAAACAAACAGGAAACCAGAAATCCAAAATTCCAAAAATCAAAACATGAAAACAAGTCAAACGAACCAGAAACCAAGGCGACATCAGGGGGATCACAATCACAAGAAGGTAGGCTCAGAGACGGAGTAGGAGGAAGTTTGACGAGGAACCAGCACTGAGGAACTGAACAGAGAGTGTATTTATGGGAGACTGAAACAAAGAGAGGACTAACGAGGAGATTGGGAGCAGGTGTGAGCAGAGCAGAAACAAGTAAGGGGCAAGGGAAAAAAGGAGAACTCAAGAGGGCAGCAGAGTGCAGCAAATAAAAACCTGAGAACTGAAAATAACCAGAAAACACAACAAAATAAGAATTAAACCATAAAAAAACTAGAAATCATGAAGTAAAGCGAAACTGAACACTCAAAAGAAAACATAACAGAACCAAGACTAAGACAGTAACCAGGAAAAAACCAAAGAACACAATAAAATAAGAATTAAACCATAAAAAAAACTAGAAATCGTGAAGTAAAGCAAAACTGGACACTCAAAAGAAAACATAACAGAACCAAGACTAAGACAGTAACCCGGAAAAAACCAAAGAACACAATAAAATAAGAAATAAACCATAAAAAAAACTAGAAATCGTGAAGTAAAGCAAAACTGAACACTCAAAAGAAAACATAACAGAACCAAGACTAAGACAGTAACCAGGAAAAAAACCAAAGAACACAATAAAATAAGAATTAAACCATAAAAAACAGGAAAACAAGGAGCAAAGCAAAACTGAACATCCAAAAGAAAAACATAACAGAACTGGAACTCTAACAGCAGCAAGGAAACCCCAAAAACATGCAAGACAGGGGGACTTGCAGAACTTGATCTCTCATTTATATATTCAAAGACTCCTCTTTGTAGATTGAATAAACTGTATTCCACATCTAAACGCTCAATGTTTACTAAAACTGCATGTTCTGTTTGTGCACATGCTCATAAAAATCCAACAATGTTTATTGAAGGAAAATAGGATGCTGTTCTTGTAGGGAAGGGTTGTTTCCTTTCAGGATAGATTAAACTGATTGATCAACTGCAAAAAGGTTTCCTGGATTGACTGACAGGCCGCTTCAGAACAATTTTATAGAACTCCTATGAAAGAAAAAACAGATTCCTCCAACTT